CTCCCCTCATTCTTGTGCCGGGAATGTTGATCAGAGTCTGCTTTATTATCATGCAGTCCTCCTCCCTAGTCTTATCCCAGTCTCCCTCTTGCTCCGTAAAATCCGAGTTCTGAGAATAAGTCTTCTAATACAATGAATCATCTCATTTCCTAGATATTTAATCTTATTATATTTTTTTATTATATCTGCATTACTTCGTCTCTTATTTCAAGCTTAATTTCAATCAGCTTCATATTTGCATGCTTTTTTTAAAACAACGCTTGAATAAATATTTTATTGTTTCCCTAATATAGGCGTCTCGCGGCCCTACCTCTGATATCGGCTCCGATAAGCCATGTATGCCAAAATGCCAATCAATCCGTGGTCACTCCAAGCAGCCTGGCTGGTTGGCGCCTAAGCCAGGTACGCTCAGCTCCAGGCAACCGGTGACTCCTCGGCTGCTTTTGGCCGAGACAAATACCGTCTCCAATACTTGCGTCACTGAAAATTCGACGGTTTCGGAAACTTCAACTGCGGTTTCTACTACCACTGTCCCTCCTATCATCAAGCCTGATTCTGTTCTGTTGCCTTCCCTACTCGATTACTACCGCGATTATTCCAGCCGTATTTATGTCGAATTTGTGGAGACAACTCGCTACTCCCACTGGTCTTGTCCCACGAATGGGAGTCGTGTTTTTTTGATAGACCAGACACTGCTTTCTGGCCCTAGTCAAAGCGGCCTCGGTTCCTGTCCCCCACTGTCTAACGTTGGTAACATTGCCTCGGTTGGTAAAGACGGAGGGAGTGTACAGGCTCCACTTCTAACATCGAACCACCAGCAAACAAATGGACTTAGCTTCGGAGATGGACGGTCAACTGTGCCAACTGATTCTTGGATGTACAGTTTTGTCCTTTCCCTCTCTCTAAAGGCATCGCACGCTAACATTATTCGTTGCCTAGCTGCGTACCTCAATCATCCACCTGACAGACTTCAGCTGCTACGCCCTCCTCCTGCTGGTTGCGTCACTTCCCCCGCTGGTTTTATATTACCTGGCTATCATGCAAAGCTGCCTCTACAGCCACCATCTTTTGGATCCAATTTCCAACAACAGCAGCCCCAGCATGGAGGCCTGATACCACCTAGGATGTTGCTTGACTTCTTCGAGCACCAAACTTCCACAGGTCAGCAGCTCTGTCCTGTGCCTTCGAACTTCGAAGGAAACCTTAAACAGCTATTATTCACTCCAACATCTGGCTCCTCTATTGGTACTGGTGCACAGTCCGTAGCTAATTTAATTCCAACGGGTCAGTTTGGCTCGCCCTTCTGTCCGCGGTCTGGCCATATTCTCGGCGCCAACCATACTGTGGGAATGGGTATGGGTTTATCTGACAACAGTGCAACCTTACATCACACGCCACAGCAACCACAATGCTTGGGTCAGACCCTCGGAACCAGTGGATTGATGAATGGTATAACCACTGCAGCTTCAGTCGCTGCTAACCAGAACATCCAAGCCCGACTATATTTTCAGCGTCTATCTCTTTCCATCACTGAGCTAGAGAGCCTCTGTCAATTGCGCTGTAGCTATGTAGATTCAAGCCGTATCCAAGAGGAGGCAGATCTGTTGCTGGTAGTCGACAAGACTGCCACTGTCGCAGAGCTTTTGAAAGTGGCCAGGGAACAGCTACAGGGCGTTGGACTTCTGCCTCGAATGGTTGAATCTCAAGACCATGTCGCCTCTTGTTGTATGGCTTTCTCAGATGCTGTCTCTGCACACTCCCCTATGTTCTCTTCATCTTCAACTTCCTCTGCTGCTGCCGGACAGGCGACTTTCGGAAATTCTAATCAGTCTACAGCATTATCAGATCCAATTACCATAACGGGTTCTTCGCTCTTCTCTGCTCAAATAACTGGCTCAGTGGCAACTGTTTCACCTACTAATACCATGACCACTTCGCCAAGCACAGCCTCTCCTTCGCGGTCGCCCGCATCGCTAACGCCACCACCAGGTCAAACTTCATCTATGGATGAACGAGTAAGACTAGCTTATCTTCCGATGTGTATGATTAAATATTCATCCTTATCTCGTTTTTACAAACATGTATTTAGATGAACTATTCGCGGATCTCTATTTTTAAATAATTAGTATATATATATATATACCCTCGATCATCAAGGTTTAGTGACCTAAAGAAAAGTATTAATGGAATTGCCTACTCCCAAACGCCTGGTTAAGCAGAAGTGCAGAACGAATGTTAATGTGGTTATAACCATTACTAGGCTGACCAATCGCTCTTTCTTCTTCTGCAGTTCAACGCCTCTCTCCTTAAGTCTTTCACTAATAGATTTGTAATTCTTAAATAACTCTTTACTCTACTCTTTATACTCAACATATTGCTCAATCTATTGATTTCAATAGCCTCTTATCGTGCGTTTAGTAGCAGAAGTATTTAAATCAGCAAACCAATGTGTTTGATGTAATTTTATCTCGTGTTCACTTTTTGCCCTGTGTCCAGACACTTGACCGTTGGACCTACGTGTATTTACAAGCACTTTTGTGTTCATCTAACTTTTGACGAATGGCCTGACATATCTCACCAACATACGAGCTATCACATTGTCTCACAAAATAAATAGATAGACTATTCTTTTCTATATTAAAATGACAAAAATAGGATCAGGTTTCTCATCAAAGACAACATATGCAACAAGACAATTAAGATGAACATTACTTTGCATCAAGCCTAAGTTACAAGTCCTGTGTTTTAAAATTGTTTTTTATGCTTTTGTTTAGTTTTTGTCTCTAATCTTTAGTTAACCCGCTTATTTGATAACTCACCTTTTTTTTCTAGCAAACTTAGCTCCTCATCGAGTCTCCTTAATTTCCTTATACAAGCTTTTGCAGGCAAAACAAACTCTATGGATCTACCTGACTTAAGATAAATACTAAAACGCCACCATCCAAAAAAAGGCATCATTCAAACTCGTCCAACATGTTCGATTACGCTCATCAACCAAATCAGACGTGCAGGATTACGCATCCCCAGTCATTCGTTTTCGTAGGTTGTTACATTTTAATGTCGGGTGGTTTCGTAACCTTACACGCTTTCAAGCTTACACCTCATTATCTCAATTAGAGTTCCTTGCAAACTCAAGCAGTCTCATGCATGTTTTTTTGTCATTAAGCCTTGATGACCAGAGCCTCATATTAGGCTCTGGTCCGGTAGTGCGTATTGATGTTATTATACATACGTATGTAAACACTTAAGTAAAAGTACCATAAGTATGAAAGATAATTAGCAAAACCATTATATATCTATTTATGCCTATACATTTTAGCTTGTTAGTTATGAGTATTTATAAGAGGTAAGATAGAGCCGGTCAATCTTCTTTACCTAATGTTAACGTGGGACTTTTACATTAACGGGCTCCAACTCTGATGATGTTCATCATATAATGTACTAAAGCTTAGCTCATACGAAATGAAAGTCTCCCCAACAATGTCGCATTAGGAGATTCATCGAAACCCAGTTACTCTTTATATCATAAGCTTCAGGTTAGCTTTGTCCTTGTTTCCAACCCTTTATAAACAAAAACGTTATGGATTTACCTCACATAAAGAAATAGCAAAACGCGTCCTTTAAGATTTTTTGTTTTATTATACATGTTCGGACTTAGCCAACATCCGTATTGATCCCAATTTAT